GAGTCGCAACCACTTGGAGCATTATCGTCTATGACATCACTTACGCGACCCAGAATGGGATCTGGGATTTGTTGTCTTTCAAGTTGCGTATTTTTCATAGTCTTATATTTCAACAGTTTTACGACAAACTGTGACTCTTTTGACATGGAAATGATTTTTTAAGATTGACAAACATCATATGTGTAATTCATGGCACAATTCAAACGGGATCGAAAGATAATATTTCTCTCCCCATTGACTTCAATACATGCTTTTTCCGAAATAAGGTCCCATGGGTCGGAAGTAGATGGGCGGGACTTCGCCTCTCTATTAAGTTCTGTCCAAAAAAATGTGTGTCTACAAATGTCACTGACTAAAGATTTGGTCTATTGTGAATTATGTTTAGTCCTATCTTGCTAAGTTTTACTTCCCCTTTACAGTAATATACTTTTACAACAAAGACGTCGAAGTAAATAAGATATTGTTTGATATTTTAAGGGACAACTGAAACAATCTCTTTGTTGGTGCTTTTATGGATGCTCCATCTAAAAGTGGACAAAGAAAACAGATTTTCATAAAGCATGTTAACCGTATCCTTATAAAACGTACAAATGCACATACCACGCTCCAAAGGGGTTTAATGAGCTCAGGACAATGAGTGAAACTGGCTGTGTGTACATTTTTTGAGTTTTGTAAAAATCTGTTAAATCATGTTAAACCACCAGTTTCTGTCTCGTGATGAGTTAAGCTGTTTAACAATACCATGATGGTAAGTGTGGGACACAGCAGGTGTCGGGACAGCCTCCTCCACATAGTCATCGTAATCTGAGGGACAGAGACATACAATTAAAGATAAAGGGGTAAGCAAAATGCAAATGTAATACTGAGTTGTTCAAGTCATGTTTCCCACCATCAATGTGGTCCAGTGGAACTCTGTCTGGTAGCTGAGTGAAGTCTTCCCCCGTCAGATCCACCGTCTCAGTGTGAGGTCTAACTGAAGCTGCATACTGACTTCCTTCGTACCTTCATCCCATAAAACAGGTCATGGATATCATTTAGCATCAGTTCTTCAGATGTCATTGAAATGAAACTTATTTTATTGTCACACTTTTTCAGAATGTCATTTGCAGCTGTTAATAGACTTGTTCTGGTATGAGCACTTATGAATCAGGGTGTTAGACGTCAGTGTGACTCTGAATACCAGGAAGCAGTAGGTAGCCTCTCTCTGGGTTGGTAAGCAAACTCCTGCATGTTGGCACACACAGCCTGCTCGCCCATTTTCATCTGAGGAAACACAATAAGATGTTTTATTATCATTGCGTTTAAACACAAGACATTTCTTCCACTTCAATGCACTCCACATAGCAGCATGTATTTTAAAGAAATTATAAAAAAGTCAGTATAGAAAACACAAGATGTATAAAGATCAGTAATAAAACACTTTTTAGATTAACTTATGAGCAAATAAGAAGAGAAATGTATTGTTTGTCAAAGTTAAGCTATCTTATTAAAAAGGATTCAAATGTATAGTCAACTGCCACCATGGCGGATTATATTAAGAAATGTTATTTAGAAAAAGCAATTCCTACGATGAAAATAATCAAGGATTAACATATTCCATATTTCAACCAACCTGTACTACGTCTTTTTTACCATTCTAATAGTATCCTCATAGTTTAATCCTGTATAATATCTGTTCATGCATTACGATGTTACAAATACGGGGCTGTATCATTGTGGCTGGCTTATTTCTTGTTTTTAATTTTAATAGATGACTCAATAAAAAGTGTATTTTTAGAAAAAAGGTTCGTATCTAATATTAATTTACCACACATTGAATAGTGTTTATTCAATTCAATACACAGACTTTTTTGTGCGATGGTTATTATTTCAAAGAGCATATGATTCAGGCTTGGACAGACTCCATAAAGTCCTACTGGTTTCCTCCCTCACCTTGAGCCGTTTGACAGGAGTCTGCCCGAGTGTGTCACTCCTGCACCTCAGGTCTTGCAGATAGGAGGAGAAACTGGATTCTGGATCGGATAACCTCTTCCGGGCCACAGTGACACCTACTTTACCTTGAGGGTGGAGAGAAGACCTCAATGATCATGACAGCCAGTCAATACAATCAAATACGCACACAGTGAAACACGAAAGATTGCACTCACAGCATTCGTGGCCACAAAGATCCTTATTCCTGCAGAAGTGGTTGCACTGTCTTTTATTGCCTGAATCTGAAGAGAAAAAGTCATCACAAATATCAACTTGCCTTCAGAGGTTTGAAGTAACTAAGTACTTTACTTGAGTATTTCCATTTTATGCTACTTTGTACTTCTACTCCACTATTATTCAGAGGTAAATGGTGTACTTTCACTCCACTACATGTATTTAATACCTTCAGTTACTTTACAGATCTGGATGAATGATGGTAAATATAATCAAGTTTTAAATCAGACTTTAGTTCCACCTGGAGTAAATCCATAAGCTACCCTGCAGTAGACAAAGTCATTCAAACTAGCTGCACCTTTACCAGCTTTGAGAACACTTTCATGATCAATCATTATAAAACATATCATATATATTATTCTGAAATAATGCATAATCTGCATAATGACTACTTTTGCTTTTGGTACTTTAAGTATATTTTGATGCTAATACCTTTGTACTTCTACTTTAGTAACATTTTGAGTGCAGGACTTTCACTTGTAACTGAGTATTCCTTCACTCTATTACTTCTACTTTTACTCAAGTACAAGATCTGAGTACTTCTCCCACCTCTGCTTGCCTTTGAAAACATACTATATATCCATACACACGGTTCCATACTTCAGCATTAACCAAATTATCAGTAACAAAGTGTAGTGCCTTGGTCCGTAGCAGAAACAGATTGAGTTGCAGCCGGTTTTGCAGACAGAGGATTTGGTGCAGCGTGCGCTCTCTGTCCACTCGGGTCATGCAGAGAGTGGTGTGGATTATCAGTTTCAAACTTCCTGGCTCCAGAAAAGTAGACGTTAAACTTCTGTTGGATGTCCAGGCCCACTGCAGGACAGAAAAAAGGCCAACATGCTCAGTGACTGCATCCTTGCACTGGCAGTCCAGTTAAAGAGTTTGTACCCGGGCCATGGTGTGCAACAACAAAATATACAGTTGGATTTTGATTTGCTTTCAAAACATCTGAAACAACGACTATTTTAACATATTTCCCATTTCGTTTCCCCCCCTATTTTCTTTAGTTTTTCTTAATATTATTTACAGCAGTACTTGATAACTCGGTTTTTACCAAATGTTATTGCTATTTCATTTAATTCTATTTTATGTATGAACTTTAACTGTTTTTTTTACTACATTAACATTATTTAATTTCTACAGAGTTGGGGGGTGAACTTGTTTTGAGGAGGGAAAAATAACACTGTATAGCTAAAAAAGCCTTTTGTAATATTCAACACAATGCTACTTTTTTTCCAATGGTGTGTAGCAAAGATTATGTATAAAATACAGCAAAATAATAGAAAAAATGTCACGTTGTGGTTGACAAACTGTGATACATATTGTAGATATATTTCTATGTAAAATTCAAAAATATTTCACTGGTTTACCGTATTGTGAGCTGATGAGATTGACGCTGATCCCGTCTCCTGTTGAGGCCTTCCCCACTTCAATCTTCTTCGTCCAGCTACCAGACTTCAGCAGTGCCAAGTCCCTGAAAAAAAAGATGATGCCTGCTGAAAATCCATAATAAATTCCAAACTAGTTTCTGTCTTTTTGCACATAATGGTGAAAGGTCTGGGTTCTGAAATAGTGATAGAGTCAGAGAAAGAGAGGGTATGTGAAAGAAAACAAAGACAAGAAAACGGTTTTATTTCCTCACGTGAGTTTCTGTTGGAAGACCACCGTGTTGTCAGAGTTTCCAATAATCAGTGAGACATAGTTCTGGTCTGGAGCCTTGTTCCTAGACAGCAGCTGTGCTTGGTTTTTTAGGATCACCTTCACCACGATCTCCGCCGTAACACAGCTATACCTTGGAAGCTGCGAAAAAGCAACAACTTTAAAAAATAATGTTAAGAATAATCAGAGTTAAGTAGCCTCACTTTTAATAGGATAAGCTCAAGTGTCAACAACAAATGGTAAAAAAACTCAATGACATGATGTAATATAACATATGCATGCCTTTAATATACTGTAAAACCCTGCATTGTGCTTTACCTGGTCCAAAGTCACTTCGTACGTTGGGAGATTCATAACAGACTCTTTGATTTGGTTGCCAAATGGTGGATGTCTATTGACGATCTAAATACAATATAGATAAAGTTAGAAATCACAACCAAATACTTTATAGAATAATTATTTGAGAATTTAAAGTGGACCTATCATGCTATATTTGAATAATATAGTGTAGGATCATACCTATATAAGGCATATTTATACTTTTTATTTTTCCAAATATCAAATCAGATCATGCATTTTAGCCATTCCTCATTTCGCTCAATTTAACACTGTCTTTTCATGGGCTGATTCTGTGAGAACAGCATCATCTACAGGCCTGGCATATGTACTACAGCGTCTCCAGCGCTTTCGAACTGCAATGTCCGTGGCTGTCTCCTCCTGATTGGTGGAGTTGGCCCAATAGCCGTAGCGCCACTTCTGTGACGTCAGAGAAGTGTTCAAATCTGGATCAGTCTGTATCAGATCCGTTGCAGCCCCTTTTTAAGAGATTTGGGTATGGAGGAAAATAGAGAGGGTTGTGTTTTCTGACACTTGGTGAGTTCCCTGTAACACCGGGGACACATATTCATGTATAAAAGACGCACAAAAGTGCATTTTGCATGATAGGTCACCTTTAAGTATTTCGCTAAACTAGCTAACTATCTACTGGGAATGGCTTCCTATTTAGCCTACAGACATGAA